CAAAGTGTAATTGGCATGCTACCGACACTGCATGTTGGAAGATCTCAGAATATAGAAAAATACAAGGGTCCTGTATGCAGCAGTAGCTCAGTCTGTAGGGACTTGGGTTAGGAGCCTGAGGGTGGCTGGTTCAAGTCCTTTTGCGGACCAAATCTGGAAATTGGTCTGGTAGCTGGAGAGGTGTCAGCTTGCTGCCTGAGCACAACTGAGGTGCCCTTGAGCAAGACACCCCCCCTACTCTGTCATCATCCCCCTGCTGCTTATTAATGAACCATGCAGCACATGTTGCAATAAACAGACTATCTGTTCAAAAGTTTTACACATTTAGACATTACTAAAAATCGAGACTTTTCAAGGTCTAACTGAGGAAACTAACTTTAAAAAGTGTGAGTCACAGATGCACAATATAAATATGTATTGAATCAGTTATTGTCCCTTGTGAGGATCTATATATACATATATATACTGTATATATTTAACAAAGATGGAGCATTTACTCTGGTTCCAGAGGACACAACAAAATTACTCAACTGTCATAGAAGAATGCTTGAAGAATTTAAATTAAAAGATTCTTTAGAAAGTTATTTTAAAAAATGTAAACACAGAAACTTTTGTTTAACACAAAAATATTTCACTTACTGGACAGAAAACAGAAAGTTTACACTCCTTGTTTATGATTGGCCAAGAACCAAGTTTTTAGAAATGGTCATTTCCTCTTTAGATCTTTGTTTAGTGAAGTGTTTTTGCTGTTGCTCTTCTAGTTTAAGGACACTAATTAGTTAAGGTGAATTATGGTCTTATGTTTTCTTATCTTCCCTTATTTTCAGTTTTTCACAACAAAAAAAAAAAAAAAGAAATCATTTTCATTTCATTAAATATTTCTGTGTTTCATGAAATGTTGCACTTGACCTTTAGGGCCACTTTATTAAATAGAAAAAACCCAACTGCTCATTAACTTCATCATAATCAAAGAGACTCTACTGATTAGATTTATTTTCCGATCCTGCGAGCAATCGCTTCATGAACAGGCTGGCTGCTGCTGCTGGCTTATAACTGTCATCAGTGTTTCATTCTTGTTCTTCATCCTCCTCCTGTTCATTAGTCTCTTTTTTGTTTAGCCCAAAACCTTCAACATTGTTGGAATTCTTTAAAAAATGTCCTTCCAGTCAGGGTCACTAAAGTAAAGGGTCGCTATTCACTAAAGTATCGCAATTTATTGATTTCTCATTGGACGATTAAAAATCTGAAAAGGAGCGCTCAGAGTGATTGTGTGGCGATTACTCAGCTGCTGTGGGTGCTAACACTGAAACATCTCAACCTCTGCGGTTCGGTAAGGTGCTGATGTCGATGCTCCAGACAGTCAATGGTACATTAGTTGGGGCGGGACTCGTTGACAATTTAACAAAGGAAACAGAAAAAGTGAATTAGTAGGAAAAGATGATCTGGATGTTGCAGCTTAGTGTTTAATAATAAAAACAATAGTTGACCAAACATGTTAATACTGACTCACTTGTGATGCACATAACTTTTTATTAATATCACTCATGATATTCTACTCTCTCCCTTCTTGTATGATTCCACTAATTTTTACTTAAAAAATACAATAAAATTGCAGTACTTGTATCGTAATACTTTAGAGTCGCAATATAAATCAAATATGTAACCAAGAAATGTGATGTAATCGAATCACCACAAAGGCATATCAGCCCAGCTCTACCCCTTACCCTGTTTGTATGACTCAAAGATACACTGTCTAATTAAAATCACACATATAAAAGGGTTAAATATGTCCCAAACTGCACCGCAGTGCAAACAGCGTCTTTGTATGTATCTTAATGATCCATCTGATATCTTAAATCCTGCTGGATTACTTCTGAACAACCGGCCCTGGATGAACGTCTTCACCAAACAAATTAGAAGCTTCATGTTGGTGACCTTTATGCTGCTAAGTAAAGGTCGTACGATGTTTGAAATTCTTCACAAGTCAACATTACGAGAGGAGATCTCACAGAGTTCAAAGCTCTGTGCACTTCCTTCATTAGTGCGAAACACACACGCACACGCACACACACTCTGTCAGAGAAGGTTAAATTCACATGATATTCCAAGTAATTGATCCTTATGTGGATGCATAAGTATGGCAAGTATTTGACACTAATGAAGGAAGTCTTTGATTATGGAGCACAGCAGCTTTCCAGGAGGACAGGTAGCTTTAACTGTTTTACTATTAAAGAAATACAGATGTGAAAATAAAAGACTTAATTCACTAATGTGTTGCATAGTGTCCCTCACTCATTAGGGTGAGTGCGGCATTTTGGCAAAAGCCACACCAATCATGTCAGGTCTTTGGTCAAAAGACTTCCATGGAGGCTCTGAGCTCCTCCAGGAGCCTCCTCCATCCTTGCCTCCTCCATCCTTGCCTCCTCCTTTAGCTGCCAGACATTGAGAGATCATCATGGTGAGAGGGTGTGCAAATGCATGTAATGAGAAGCACTCTTCGACTGTAGTAAAGAATGTCTTCCAATGAGAAGCCGTGTTTACCTTGAGTGCAAAATGTGTGATGTGTGAATATGATGCTGTGAAATGTAGCTTCCAAGAAACTATTGATTTGTTCTTGTGACCTGCAGCTTCACACACATGAGGTTTTCTTTCCTAAGAGCTCTCACAGCTCTACATATGGATCTAGAAAAAACTCTCTTGTTCCAGGCTGTTGCCTCACAGTGAGAAGGTTCCTGGTTTGAATCGGACAGGAGCCTCTCTGTGTGGAGTTTGCATGTTCTCCCGTGCATGTGTGGGTTTCTCCCACAGTCCAAAGACATGCTCTTTAGGTTAATTGGTGACTCTAACTTGCCCGTGTCTCTAATGTGACAATGACAGCTGTGATCCCTGCAACCCTTATGGGAAAAGCGGTATGAATAATGGCTGGATGGATAGATGGATATTCCATCTATATACAGATCAACCATTCATGTGAGCCATGTGCTTAAAATGTTTTGGTATGTTTTCCATAGCACGTTTTAAAACAACACAGTCTCTTATCGGTAATATCAAAAAGTTCCCAAGCTTGAAATCAACTTCAGATCTTCAAACATATTATTAACCAAAAGCTGCCACGAGCAATCTCCTGCACACCGTTGTCTTTGCGCAAATACGTTGACAACAGGTTGTTGTTGAAAATGTTGTTTTGGTACTGAAACGTTGCTAATGTAGTTTAAAAATCAGTGTTTTTCTTCAGCTGTCCAGAGTAATTCATCAGCAAACAGGGATTCATCGTAAGTAGATGTGGGAGTGGGCACGGCCACAACACGACAAATGTGATTATTTAGCCTCAGTGTATGAATTGTACACAGGAAACTTTCTTTTGTTTGTGGACTGATCATAAAAAATGTATCAAGTTAAGTTGACTAAGCCCTTTGGATCGTGTCATCTCTTTTGTGGAAGTTCTGCATTTTGGTCATCACCATCTTAGTGTTTATGAACAACAGGGGTGGATATTCAACGTTTTGTCTTTATCAAGCTGTATTGAAGAAGACGGATACAATAGATTGAGACCAGGAACCCATTAGGAAAATATTTACTGAGGGAACAAATGAACTCACGAGTGGGACCATTTTCGAACAATCAGACTTCATTTGTAACTCCTGGATGATTCTGGATGAAAATACTAATGCATCAGCGTCACTTTAAAAATCAGTGGCTACATTTATTTCTTATATTGACGTGTTAAATGCACTTATCGATGTAAATAACAGAATGGATAGCAGACGCTAATAGCATGTTGTGCGTCATTGGCTCCCTGTATCTGCTCCCTCTCGAGGTCTGATTCACAGAGATGTGGCCCTAATGATATGGAGGTGCACTCTTACGCTGACAGAGCTCATTCCATCCACCTGATGAGCATGGTGGGGAGGGGACTCTTAACACTAAATTGCGAGACTAACTCAAAAAATGTAATGTGTTAGAATTAGTTAAATGTACATGGTTTAATAAAAAGAAATGATGGAGCAAGCAAGGGAACTCGGACAGCAACAAGCACTTGAGCGCCAGCTGTGCTAACGGCTCCAGACCGCCTCCACACATGTTCATGAAGAGTCGAGCCACTGTCAGCCACTCACTGATTTAACCCCTGACTGTATTCATAATAGTTACGTCGAAGTAATATTTACAAACTGAGTTAACTGGTAATGTATTTCAGGTCATGCAGGAGTGGAATTGTTGCCCTGGTCACTGGAAAGTTTGAACGTGACATCTTTTATGAATAGTGCAGCGCAGTTGCCACCAAAACTCCACTGACCTTTTGATGACACCTCATTACAGCCTATAACAGCCAATCAGAGCCTTGGTTGAAAAGGAGGTACCGCCCACTGTTCTGACGTCCAATCACACGCGACCATGCCGATGACTGACATTGCTCACAGCCAATGAAATTCTCTAAACATGGATGTGCTGCTTCTATCAACACTTCTTCTTCATGATTTCTTCATGCAGACACTAAGGAGACTTATTTAAAGTATGAGTGGTTTTCAGAGCTGCATTAAAAGTATGAAAACGATGATATTTATACCAAGAGAAGCTATGAGCCATGAATTATTTGGAGAAAATGGACAATTTATGACAAATTAGATATGAAACACCCCATAACGCTGGAAGGAATGATCCCCTGTGCTCAACTCTGAGACTGGCAGTCAACTGAGGCTCTGACTAAAGAGTTGTACATATACTGTGAAAATATATATATATATATATATATATATATATATATATATATATGTATATACTGTATATGGGGTACCCTAGTATGCATGTAAGTTGACGTCAGTTTGTAAAGTGATAAACTAAAGGCTGCCTCATGAACTCACCAGATTTTTCTCTTTAAATGATTTTCTGTACACATGATCAGGCTCTGCTGGAGTCTGATGTGTCTAAATAAAGGACTGGACCGGTACTAACTGTTTGTACTCTGTCTGTGTATGTGTATGTGTGTGTCCTTTTCCACACAGCTGGAGTAAATGTGAGAGCAGTGTTACAGAGATGTCTGTCCCCTGCAGTTAGCGGCAGCTCTACAATGCTGGAAATTTAAAAGAGGTGAGTGAGAACTCTCCTAAATGTATTATTTGACGACACTTCAGTTCATCGTTGCTACCTTGGTGAGGCTTTGATCCTTTTAAATCCACTCTGACACTTCCAACATTTGAGTCAAACACTTTAGTTTCTGTCATGTACGGGTGTGTGAAAATGCAGGGTGCACACAGAACAAAGCGTGGATCTTAAAGTTTAGTGTTACAGAACAACGGTCTGTCTGTGTGACATAATCTAACATCATTATGTAGAGGAGTTTGGACTTTTCTGCTCACATTCCTGATACAAGATGAAGTGAAAAAAGTGTTTCCAGTGGGTCTGAGCTCTCCAGCCACAGATCTCTGATGAGCTTAAATGTTTGAGAGAAATTTACCTTGAAGAGAGATCAGTGGCTTCTACAGACTGGGTTGATTAGGGCTGCATGCTAGAAGTTGAAAAGTCTGAAACATTAAGAAAAGTAGATTAAAGTTGCATTTTAGCAGAGAAACCTGAGGGAGAAATCTAGCTTTGTTAACTCAAGCTACTGAAAAGAAAAGAAAAAGGTGAGACCACTTTTCAAAAATAAGATCTAATTATCAGACCACATGTGAAATGAAAATGGACCAAAAAAGGTCATTGATTGTTTGAATTGTTGTTGTTGTTGCCGTTGTGTTTATCTCTATCCTTCTCTCTGCATCGCCATTAATACCACTTTTTAAGCCCAACACAGTTTCAGCAGATTGTTGTTCATCATGAGTCTGGTTCTGCTCGAGGTTTCTGCCTCTTAAAGGACGTTTTAATCTTTCCACTGTAACTTTGATAAATGTTGTTTAGTGTTTAAAGTGCATTAACTTTGGGTCTCTGTAGATAATATAACAAAGACAAAGGTCTTTGCTCTTTTGTAAAAGGCATTGAGATTTGTTATGAATTGGCGCTTTACTAATAAAGATTGATCGATTGATGATTGATTGAATAGGCTGAAGCCCTTAAGGCTATTTTCTGCCTATCCTTTATCATTAATATAATCCAGAACATCAGCAGTATAACAAAGAAAAAAACAAAAGCAGATTAACTTTCTTAATTCTTAAACATTTTATGGTGTAATCATTTATTCTTTTGCAATAAAACTACAAAGAGAACTACTCTTCACTAAGGCTCTTCCATAGTTTGACTCCCAAAACTGAAACCATCTGTTTTTTATGTTGGTTCTTGCTTTACAAGTTACAAACACATCAATCCAGCCATCCAGTATCTATAACCTTTTTTCTTGTTCGGGGTCGAGGGGGGTTTGCAGCCGATCCCAGCTGTCATTGGGCGAGAGACACGGGGTACACCCTGGACTGATCGCCAGCCAATCACAGGGCGGACGGAGACCGACACTCACATTCAAAACCTACGGGGAATTTAGAGTCACCACTTAACCTAACGGGGTTCCTGTCCAACAGGGATTTGAACCAGGATGTGAGGCAACAGCACTAACCAGTGCGCCACCGTGCAGCCCACAAACACACATGATCCTCTTTAATTATAATGACATTCCATTAATTAAAAAAAAAAAAAAACTGTGACAGGAACAGGGAAGTCTTTTATTTCTACCTCGATAAAGTATTTCTAACGTTTTTATCTTGTTCAATTGTCATGCAAAGAAACAAAATATTAACTGGACTATGATGGAAAACTACAGTGAATGTGAACGCAACCGTCAGCACTTGCTAGCTCCTCATAGATGCTGTAAAAAAAACAACCATAAAACCTGCAGTGTAAAGTATATAATCTGTCTCATATCATTCTCGAAGAGTATGACAGGAGAAGATAGGCGTTAGAGGAATGATTCACGCTTCTCTCACAGTCGGTTGGTCGTTTCGGTCCCCACCTCCTTCACACATCCCACCACTGAGCTGTTCCTTTCTATCTGTCTGTATATTTTAGGCTTCGGAGGCATGCACAAACCCAGGATTTAATTTCTGAGTATAAGAGAGCAGCTCTGCAGCTCTGTGCAGAGGAGCAGCAGGTACTAAGATAGAGAGAGAGAGAAAGAGAGAGAGACACTCACACACACACATTCAGCGGGAGAAGCAGGGTAAGCCCACGCTCTTCTCTTCTCAACCTTGTTCTAAAGGCTGAGTTGAATCATAACAGTCAGTGGGCGAAAAGAAAGAGAGAAAAAAAATCCTTTCCACGCAGATTCTGACGTACATCTCTAGTCGATTGGGGGTCGTATTAAACGGATGATGGGAGAAAGAGGAAGAGAAGGAGTATAGTTGATAGCCTCCAGCAGTGTTTAGTCGCTCAATCTCTTTCTCTCTCTGCAGGATTTTAATCGCTGCTTTGTGTCTTTAAGAAATGTATTCCAGCTGGATGACTTTCATGAGCACAGAAGTAGATTCAGTCACAAATGCTGGCGTCAAAGTGTTTGTGGCGAATAGATTTGTCAGAAATGTGTTAATGAGAGGAAGCTCTCAAAGAATTCAATCAGTAAGAGAAAGTTATCCCTCGGCATCATCGCTGTGTTCCTACACGATTCAGAGAAAGCTCAAAACACAACATGTGAGTCAAGGCAGGATGTTGACATTTACAGATCGCACCGTGACATTCTGCAAAACGCCCAGCTTCCAGTGAGCATCCCCCAAAAAACAGACAACGTTTGCTGCCTGTGAAAAGCTCTTAAAGCTTTCTAGAGATACTCCTTACTTTTCCTTGTTGTCGTGCTTTCATGTGACACAAACACTTAACCAGATAACTCCAGGGTGGCTGACCTTTGAACCCAGCAGGGAGGTGCACTAAACAAACAGCTCTCCCGTGCTGCTATGAGGAACTTAGAAATGGTTTCTTTGCTGTGTACTGCTGCCCCAACCAATGACTGATCATTGCTGAAACTAAGGGAAAAATGCTCTTGAGACCAAAAAAGCCTAGGCACGTCATATCTGCAGAGGAGTAAGCATTAATACATTTGACAGTGCCCAAATTAAGCAGCCCTAATAAGATACAGTCATTAGGTGCTAGCTAAGTAGAGTCATTTGATAAAAAAAAAAGCTAAGCTTGGGCACACACTGAATGATTTTGAAACGGTAATGGTGGAATGTCATCTCACACTGTACGGGTTAAATGTGAACACGCACATCCAAAGCTAACAAGTAATGTGTGACGTCTTAAATTAGGACAGAGCACTGACGATTGTCAATAAAGTTTACTTCATAACTCCCACAGATGGAAGTTGAAGTTGGACGAGAAGGAAGTCAAAGTTGTAGTTTTGCTAGCTAGCTAGATAGTTGCAACAATGCTAACAAAGTAGAAAGAGGCTGCCCCTGCTGGGGGCAGGTTTTAGCATCCTTTGTGCTAAAACCTAAAAATAGAGGTGGTGTGGTGCCATGCTAATGTTAGTTGGGTATTTTAACATGGGGCTCAAAAAAAGAACTGACTTTATTTCTGAGCCTGCCTCAAGTGGCTGTTCAAGGAACTGCAGTTTTTGTCAACTCTGAATTTGCATCAATTTTCTATCCTTTAAGATTTATTTGACGACTTTTGAGCCTTAAGTTGGACCGGACTGTGGATAGAGTAGGAGATCATGGAGAGAGAGAGAGAGAGTGGGGAGTGACATGTGGGAAAGCATCTGCAGGTTGGACTTTACCCAGGGCCAAATACTTGGAGGACTACAGCCTCCGTACGTTGGGTGCGACCTAACCTAAACGCGTAAACTCCATCAGCACCCTGAGCATCTTGAGGTAGACACTTGGAGTTTTATTTTTTCTCAGGTAAAGATTAACTGACTTCACAGCGCCATACTCAATTCTGCTTGGCCTGCCTTTATCGTGTGAAGAACCGTCATCTATATATTGTGTGCAGCTCATGTTAGAACCTTCAGAGAGATGTAATGGCATCAGAGAGCAGATACCGACCATCTCCTAGCAACCGTCTTATGTGACAACAGAAAGTGTAACACCTGTAGGCTTTTACAGTTCTGACACAAGTCATGCCACAAAGCTCAGTCACGTATGTCAAACAGCTCAGGTCCATCTCCATTCTCCTATAAAGGGAATTCAAAGTGAAAACAAACGGCACAGATGCTAACTTACAGTAGATCCTGTGCAGACGCCGTGCACGCCGAGCCTTCTCAGTTGAAGGTTAGGTGGTTTTGTTTTGTCCCGAGGTTCTCTGCGGAGTTTTTCACGCAGAGACATCTTAGTCACGCTGAGTCAAACAGGAAACCCGCGGGAGGGTGGATGAGTGTACAGTAGAGTGAAGTGCTGACACCGAAGATGCAATCGGACCAAAATTTTATCCCGAGTCCTTTTTTTGACAGCCCCCGTGTAAGAGATCTTCACAGCTGAATGAAAACATGTCCCTCCCCCTTTTTCACGGGAATGAAACTGGACCTGTGATGGTAAACGGAAGAGGAAGTGAGATAGACACAGGCAGGAATGAAAGGACTTTGACCATGTTTATATCTGCCCTTTTCATCTCCAGATGTTTCTGAAGTGCTTACCTGCAGTCAGATCTCACTTCTTCCCACATTATGCATGTAAAACAGCATCAATTGATTAAGAACTGTGATATGAACTCTGGTCATTGAAGAGAGACAGAGAGAGTGATTATGTTCTAAAGCGTCAGAGTGATTTAAAAAACGTTCTCTCTCGTCATGTACGGTTACATTGTACAGTTGTGTGGTGTTCTGATATACGCCACAGACTGGAGTCTGTCAGCGGTGACAAACTGAGATCAGCATTATATAAACATCTTCAGCTCCCTGAATCATGGACTATGATGAGCTGTTTGTGTGTCATATTTCTTTTTGACGTCCCATCCTCTGCCCCTGTGTTTGGTTGTCCAGTTTAAAAAACAAAAAAATCCACTGTCCCTCTCTGAGTCATCTCGTGCATCCCTTAGGCCTACTGTTGTCAGTGTTACACTGTGTCTGGGCGTACAAGGATAACAGTTTGTACCCACCATTATGATGCTTTTTTTCAAACTTTAGATAAGTTCTTACTCACATGATGGACATTACAGACTCCATGTGTCTGCTTCAGACT